TGCTCCCGCACATTCCCGCACGCCCCTGTGGATGATGCTCCCGCACAGCCGTGTGGATGATGCTCCTCTACATTCCCGCACGCCCCTGTGGACGACGCTTCCGCACACCCGCGCACACCCGCGTGGATTATATTCCTGTACAGTCCCGGATACCCGCGTGGATGATGTTCCTCTACATTCTCGCACACCCGTGTGGATGATGCTTTCACATTCCCGCACATCCCTGTGGGTGATGCTTCCACATTCTCGCACATCCCTGTGGATGATGCTCCCGCACATTCCCGCACATCCCTGTGGATGATGCTTCCACATTCCCGCACAGCCCTGTGGAAGACGCTCCCGCACACCCGCGCACACCCGTCCGCGGGGCACACTCACCCCTCCCGCCCTCCCCACCCGGGGTACTCACCGGGCCCGGGGCACCGCCGGCTCGCTTCGCTCCGCTCCTCCCCGGCCGCGCTCCCGCCGCCGCCGCGCTCCCGCCGCGCCCCCCCCCGCACACCCCCCACCCCACGCGCGGGGGGCGGCGGGGGATTCCCCCCTGCGCTCCCCCTCGGGCTCTAAGCCCCGCTAATCCCGCGGCCCGGCCCCCCCGGCTCGGCGGCGCTGCCGGCGGGACCCCCCGCGCGCCCCCTCAGCGGTACCGGGGGTCCCGGCCCCGCCCCGCGGCGCCGCCGCGGCCAATGGGGATGGCGAACGGCGGGGCGGGGCCGCCTCGGCCAATGGGCGACGGCGGGAGGGGCGTGGCCGGCGCGGTGGGCGGGGCCGCTCCGCCGCGCTCCGCCATGGCCGCCGCGCTGCGAACCCTCCTCCGCCCCGCCGCCGCCGCGCTGCCCCGGGCGCGGCCCCCGCCGCCGCTCTGCAACCCCGCCGGCACGCGGGGCTGCAGCGCCGGTGAGCACCGGGGCACGGGGAGGGCACCGGGGGCTGGCGGGGGGTGGGCTTGGCCGGAGGGGGTGGTGAGCACCGGGTCCCTGCACCGGGCACGGTCCCAGCACTGGGCGTGTGCCCAGCAACTTGCACGTGGTCCCTGGGCTGCGCACCAGGACGGGGTCCCTGCTCCATGTACGGTCCCGGCACCGGGCACGCGGTCCCTGGGCTGTGCAGCAGGTCCCAGGGTGCCTGCGCCATGCCCCGGTACCGGTGGCTCGCCGTCCCGGCACAGGATGGTCCCGGCACAGCTCCCCCGAGCCGAAACCCGCGGACACGTCCCCTCCGGCTGCTGGTGACCGCTGGCGTGAAGGTCACCTTAATATAGCGCGGGGCGGCGGCCGGACTTTGCTAGGGGTTGTCAGGGGTCTCACCCCGTGCCCGGCAGCCGGTGGGCTCACGGGCCGGTGCCGGGGCGGCGGCAGGGTCCACGTTCCAGTACCTGTTGGTGCAGAAGACGGGGGCGCAGAAGAATGTGGGGCTGATCCAGCTGAACCGGCCGCAGGCGCTGAACGCGCTCTGCGAGGGGCTGATGGCCGAGCTGCGGCAGGCGCTGGAGGCCATGGAGAGTGACCCGCAGGTGGGAGCCATCGTCCTCACCGGCAGCCAGAAAGCCTTTGCAGGTAGGGCGAAGACGCCTCTCCCCACCCCAAAATTTTGGGGAAGGTTAGGGGAGGAGTTGTTGTCCCAGCCCACTTCCCTTTGCAGCCGGTGCGGACATCAAGGAGATGCAGAATAAAACCTTCCAGGAGTGCTACAACGGCGCCTTCCTGGGCGGGTGGGACAAGGTCTCCGTGGTCCGTAAACCCATCATCGCCGCTGTCAATGGCTACGCCGTGAGTGCCCCCCGCCTCTCCCTGTGCCCCCTGACCCCCCAGTGCCACCCCCTGACCCCCCAGTGCCACCCCCTGACCCCCCCGTGCCTCCCCTGTCCCAGCTGGGTGGCGGGTGCGAGCTGGCCATGATGTGCGACATCATCTACGCCGGGGAGAAGGCGCAGTTCGGGCAACCCGAAATCCTGCTGGGAACCATCCCAGGTGAGCGGCGGGCACCGGCCAGGGGGTTCCATCCCGGCCGGAGTGGGGACACCCAGCTATCCCTCTCTGGACCTTCCCTACGTGCGTCCAGGTGCCGGCGGGACGCAGAGGCTCACCAGGGCGGTGGGGAAGTCGCTGGCCATGGAGATGGTGCTCACCGGGGACCGGATTTCGGCAGCGGAGGCCAAGGAGGCAGGTAGGGGCGTGGGCCAGCCCTGGCACTGCAGGGGGCCAGCAGGGAGCCATCCCCCCACTTCCCACTGCCCGTCCTAGGTCTGGTGAGCAAGGTGTTCCCCGTGGAGAAGCTGCTGGACGCGGCCATCGCCTGCGCTGAGAAGATCGCCAGCAACTCCAAGCTGGTGGCTGCCATGGCCAAGGAGTCGGTCAACGCTGGTAGGGACTGGGAGGCCAACTGGGAACCCCTTGGGGGGGCTGCGGGGCCAGGCAGAGGGGTCTCCCCAACTTCTCCCTTGCTCTCAGCCTTTGAGACGACGCTGACAGAGGGGAACAGGACGGAGAAGCGTCTCTTTTACGCCACCTTTGCCACTGTGAGTAGAGGGATCTGCCCCGTGGCAGAGGGGGGATCGGCCCCTTGGTGGGGCGACAGTGGGGCTGCCACAGCCCCCCCAAAGCTCACCTCTCTGCTCCTCCCAGGATGACCGCAAAGAGGGGATGACGGCCTTTGTGGAGAAGCGCAAGGCAAAATTCACAGACAGCTGAGCCCGAGGAGCTGCAGTCCCCAGGGATGTGCAGGTCCCCAGGGATGTGCAGGTCCCCAAGGATGTGCAGGTTCCCCGGGCACGTGCAGATCCCCGGAGTGGTGCAGGTCCCCACAGCCACCTGCTGCCCCTCTGCCTTACCCCATGGAGGGGACTGGGACCCATCGGCGAGCGATGCTTGGGGTGACAACCAGCAGTGGGGACCACCTCTGCCTTTGCTATTAAAACATTTTCTAGGTGCTGCCGGGACATGGGGCGTCCTTCTCTGAGGTCCTCCCTCAGCTGGGAAAGGTTTGGGTTCACTGAGACCCCCCACTCTGTCACACTGCTCTCTGATGCTGGGCTGGGCAAGAGCAGACTCGTGGAGATCCATCCGTGTGTCCCCCAGGAAGGGGACAGCCTGTGGCACTGAGTCACCCGTCCCAGGGCATCATCCTCACCCTGCTCAGGGTCTTGGGGCGCTCCCAAGGAGGGGGATCCCTCAGGTTTAGGGCCCTGTACTTAGCAGCAGGTTTCTGGCAGCAACGAGGAGCCCACCAGGACATTGGAGAGGGTAGTGGGTTTATTGGTTGAGTAGGGAAGAGATGAGTCCCCCCAGGGAGCCCCAGGGGTGGCTCCCACCCCTCATTTCACAGCCTGGGCACATCTGCACTCAGCTGTGGTAGAGATGGTCACGGTCCTCCTCTGGGCCATTCTGCACCTGCAGGGGCAGCATCCGGGGCTGCTCACGGACATCCACCATCCTGGCATCGTCCTGGGGGTGGCGGAGGTGGTCTCGATCCTCCTCTGGCTCTGCCTGGACTTGTGGGGGGTGCCAGGCCCTTCTGGACACAGCCTTTCTACCTGGTTTCACCTCTTCGGAGAGCTCGCGCTCCTCCAGCACATCCACACCCGGGATGCTGGGAGAGGGGAGCAAAATCAGCGAGGAAAGGTTGCTAAATACCACCCTGCCCCAGGGGAATTCCACCCTGTCAGAGGGCAGGGACCCTGGCAAGATTCCCCCCACCCCAGGAAGCAGAAATTAGTACCTCGGGGAGCAAATGGGCTAATTTAGCCAAAGGGACAGGGAAACCAGCTGGGGGTAGATGTTTGGGGAGTTTGGGCAATATGGGGGAGAAGGTGGAGCTGGGAGCCTCTTAATTTTGAGGGGGCACAAAGCCCAAGGGGAATTTATTTCCCTCTGAAACGCTTTCCATTTTGGGGTGTTGCTCTGTTGGCTTTTACAAGCCTGAAGGTGGGGGGAGCACGTCCACCTCTTACATTTCCTTGTCCAAATCCCGGTCCATGGACAGGCCCTTCCGCCCGGAGCTGCTCAGAGCCTGCAGGGAGAGAGGGGTGTGGCACTGCTCATGCTGGGCCTGCTCATCAGAGGGGACAGCAGGAGGGCGAAGCAGAGGGGTGGCTCACCTGGGTGCTGCTGGGTGCCAGCAGGAGGAGGGCAGTGCCCACCAGGACGGTGATGCTGCAGAGCCTCAGGCTGAAGCAGAGGAGACACAGTGGCAAGAGCTGTGTGGCCGGTGCTGCCCCACACCCTGCGCCCATTTCCTGTGCCCCCCGCTCCCCCGTGACCCCCAGCACCCACCCTGCCCACCCCTGTGCCCGCCGGGGCTGGCAGGACCTACCCCTCCATGGCTGCCTCTCACCACACCTGGCTGTGCACTTTGCCCGGCCTCGTGTCCCTGGGTGGTGCCAGTTCCTGCTGCTCAGGGAGACTCCCAGGTGTCCCAGAAAGGTGGTGGCCTCTGGCCTGGAGCTGCAGGGGACACTGTCTCTCTGCTGGCACAGCTGCCTGGTTACTGCGTGTCCCTGGCTCAGCTGGGACCCTTCCCTTTGCTTCTCCATCCCGGCATCCACCTCCACCACACCAGTGCCTTCAGCTCCGCTGCAACAGGAGTGAAACAGGTGATTTGGGAGCTTTCATCCCCAGAATGTTTCCCAATGCATCTTTTTCCCCCTTGGAAATTGGAAGTGTGAGTGAGTCCAAAGCTTCTCCCCAGCTGTGATGGGTGACACCCCATTTCTGTGCGTGGATCAGCTCTGTGTGTGTGTTTAGAACAAAAAAGAAGGGAAATTCAAGTTTTGGCTTGAAAGAAGGATTTTTTCCGGCGGGGACAGATTTCATTGCCCATGGAGCCTGGGAAAAGCGGGTGTCCCAGAAGAGACCAGTCACGAGCCCTGAGGCTGTAACTGCAAGTTCAGTTTGTTTTCCATTAGCAAGGGCAGGCACTCAGGGACCTGGACTCGGGGGAAAAAGGAATGCCCAGGTCAAAACTTGTGGACCTGAACCCGTAAGGGAGGGTTGGGCTGCTCCTGCCTGACCTTTGTACCATCACATCCCAAAGCCTGCAGGCATCTCCAGTGACGTGGGGCCTGATTCCCATTCCCAGATATCCCAGTGGGGGGAAAAAACCCTCATTAGGGGCTCCCGGTGTGGGAAAGTGATTTTTGGTCCCTGCTGAAAGATGTCCCTGGGCAGATAAGGGATCCTGGCCGGGGGGTTTGCCTGCTGCAGACAGCAATCCAGGAGCAGGGATTAAGCTGGACAAGCCGGCTGAGTTTTAAACAGAGCGAAGCTTTTTAAAACTCCCCGGGAAATCTCCTGCATCTCCGTAAACACCATTCCCTGCTCCCATCTGCAAGGATTTTCCAAAGCCCCTTTTATCCTCTATTCCTCATACGGAGGGGGAAGGGAAAAGATGCAATTATAGATCCTAAGCTTCTTGGATAAACATCGTTCCAGCAACCTCTTTTTTCCCTTTCTGGACAAATTTTGAGTGTCAGGGTTCACCAGGACCCCGAGACCAGTGGCAGCACTCTGAGCCTGGCTCTGTGTTTTCAATTTTTCCCAGGAGGATGACATTACAAAGGAAGGGAGAGGCAAGAGGGAAAACTTCCATCCCAACCTGATTTTGGGGGTATTTGGAGCAAAAGGAGGGAGGTCCATTCTGCACATCTGAGTCTGCCTTCAAAATACCATTTAAACTCTCTATGAAGCAATTTTATAAAAATTCCTTTTATTTATTCACCTGGCTGAAGTCACTTTATTTTAACTCCCCGTGGAAATGCTTCTCCTGGGCCAGACAGACCTTTCATGTGGGTTCCACAGCGAGAGCCAGGGTGCAGAGGAGACTTCAGTGAGATGGAGAAGGTCAGAATTAAGGACCAACACCTTTTTTGCCCTGTTTTCTTTTTTCACAGCTTCCATACAGTCAGCAGATTTTGTCTTGGAATTTCTTGAATCTGTTTTTTTCCTCCAAAAGGCAAAAGAATAAAACACCCAGTCCCGTGCAGTCTCAGCTGCGGGACAGTTTCCTTAACACCTCACCACACATTTTGGGTTCCCCTTTCTAAAATCTTGAGGATTCTTAACTCAGTCAGGTTGGCCCAATTCCGTTTGACATCACGAACCCGTGTTCAAATGCTGGTGGAGCTTTAACTGGTTTGGGTGGCTTATTCCCAATGTGGAGTGGAACTGGAAATATCCCTGCTCGGCCACGGCGTGGGCGGCACCGGCCCCACATCTGCTCATCCTGCACAGATCTGCCCCACTGACCTTCAGACTTTCTTCCTTGGTCCTTTAAATCCTCGGGTGGCACCTTGTCCAAAGCAAATTGTGGATGGGATCCTGGAAAGGGAGACAGACTTTAATCCACATTAACAGCCTATCCCTCATGGCGATGCTCTGTGTGGCATTTTAAGCTCCCAGAGTGGAAAGAGCAGGACATCTAAATCAACAAAGTAATAAAAAAATGGGTGAAATCCTGGTTGGCTTTCCTGTGTATTCCGCACATTCCTGTTCTGGAGGCCTCTCCCCTTTTTCCAGCCACGTGTAAGTGTTACCAAATGTAGTAACTGGGCAGTTGCAGTGGTTGATTGCGAGGAGCAGGAGAGCAGAAGCACCATCCTGCAATACCCCGGGAAGAGATCCTGGGTGGGCAGACCAACAGGGCCTTGCCAACACTGCAGTGGCCTGTTCTGCCCTTCCACAATTTCCTCTTTTAAAAATGCCTTTGAAAACACACAAGGAATTCCTGCCTCTTTTATCTTCAGCACAGGAACACACTGAGCAGTGCCAAGGGCTGGTAAGACTCTCTGGCCCGTGGAGGCCAAAGCACAGACCTGGATTTGTAGAGCCGTTTCTCTGGCAGTGAGGGGCCAGGGCTGGCTGCAGGCTGAGGGATCTCCATGTCCTCACCAGGCCCTGTTTCCATGGGGTCCAGCTGGAATTGCTCTGCTGTCTCCACGCTCACCTCCATGGGCACGCTGGGGCCCTGCTCCGTGGGACAGCTCGTGTGCTTGGGGACACTGCAGGGACACAGTTTTACATCCTGGCTCAGTGGCTGCCATGTAAGCCCAGAGCCAAGGATATTTCATGAGGAAACGAGTCCAGCTGGGATGAGTCAGTGCACAGAGGCACAGGGATTCGGCTCCAGAGAGAGGGGCTTGCCTGAGTTTCTATTTAAGTATCCATTACTTAATGAATACACAGCACGCACACAGCTCTCTCCCCAGGTCCTTCTCTTCACTCCAAAAAGCCTAACTCATTCCACAGGCTCAATTCCCCTTTAGCTGACCTACTGGTGCCACAGGTGACCGTTACCTTTTCACCCCTGGCTGGCCAAGCCACTCTGCTCTCCCATCCTCAACCTGCTGCTCCCTCAAGTACTGGGAGCACGACACATTTCACTTAGAATCACAGAATGGTTTAGGTTGGAAGGGACCTAAAAGCCCACCCAGTTGAACCCCTGCCATGGGCAGGGACACCTTCCACTAGCCCAAGTTGCTCCAAGCCCCATCCAACCTGCCCTTGGACACTTCCAGGGATCCAGAGGCAGCCACAGCTTCTCTGGGCAACCTGTGCCAGGGCCTCCCCACCCTCACAGGGAAGAATTCCTTCCTAAAATCCCATTTAAACCTCCTCTCTTTCATTTTGAAGTCATTCCTCCTTGTCCTGGCACTCCAGGCTCTTGGAAATAGTCTCTCTCCATGTTTCTTGCAGGCTCCTTTCAGGCCCTGAAAAGCCACAATTAGGTCACCCCAAAGCTTCTCTTCTCCAGGCTGAACAATCCCAACTCTCCCAGCCTGTCCTTGTAGGAGAGGAGGAACGTCCTGCAGTTACCTTTTCACTTTCTTGGGTCTATCAAACCGAAAGTCAGCAGGGTAAAGGTGCACAGTCACCAAGTGATCCTTCCTGTCCTTGCTGCTCTTGAACTTCTCCGGGCAGCCTTCCACCAAACACTTGTACTGAAAGGCAAGGAGGGGGAAAAAAGACCTAACTGCAAGAGGCAAATGCACTCCAGCCCCGAGCCCAGGGCTGGGCAGGGCAACTCACCATGTTCTGCTTCTCGGCCATGACCTGGAAGAGCGAGTCGTGCCACTCCAAGATGTGGATATCCAGGAGGTTCCCTGAGGGAAAGGAGCGCTTGCAGAAGGAGCAGACATTCCTGTGCAGGGTGTTGTAGTGGTGCTCGTAGCCCTCCAGCGTGTCAAACACCTGGCAGCACCCGGAGATGTGGCAGCTGAACTCGGACACCCTGCGGGGAAACCGGGACAGCCACGCCTTGAGCTGAGTGAGAGCCTCAAGGTCAGCTGAAAACAGCCCTCTAGGTGACCTTATCACAGAATGCCAGCATGGTTTGGGTTGGAAGGGACCATAAAGACCATGCAGTCCAACCCCCCTGCCATGGGCAGGGACACCTTCCACCAGATGAACACTAGTGGCACTTTTTATGAGTAATAAATTAAATGCCAGCTGCAACGGAAGCGAGATCTTGATGGTGCTGGCAGTTAGAAACTTATGTGCCATTGGAAACTTATTTGCAATTCTCATAGAATCATAGAATCAACCAGGTTGGAAAAGACCTCCAAGATCATCAAGTCCAACCCTTGCTCCAACCTCGCTGTGGTTCCCAGCCCATGGCACTGATGCCACATCCAGTCTGTCCTTAAACACCTCCAGGGATGGAGAATCCACCCCCTCCCTGGGCAGCCCATTCCAATGGCTGACTACTTTCATTTGATTACTCTTATTTGCAAGTATGGCTTTGGGATCATCTCAATTATCATCCTGCTTTGATGAATAAACAAGGCAGTAATGCAATAAATAAGTGCTGTTTGACCCTAAAGTCACAGTTATGGATGATAATGTTGTGCCAATGGTTTTTTAACAGGTATCCACTGGAAAACCTCACACAACACTCAAAGTACTTCCTCGATTTTCCATATAAGAGCAAGGCAAAGACTGTGTCCTGGGCTTAGCCTTCCTAGTTGGAGCTGCCCCGGCTGCAGTTGTCCAGAGAGCTTGAGGACGTCCAAGATCAGTTCAAGGCCAGGCTGGACGGGGCTCGGAACAACCTGGGACAGTGGAAGGTGTCCCTGCCCATGGCAGGGGGTGAAACTGGATGAGCTTTAAGGTCCCTTCCCACTCAAACCATTCCTTGACCCCAGGGCTCAGGGCTCGTCCGCGGCCGTGCTGACGAGCCCCCGCCTCACTTACTTGGGTCTCTCGGCCACCTCCTCGAGGCTGGTGAGGACGCCCTGCAGGTAGAGGTGCCTGTGCACGTCCCCGTCCTAGAGAGGAGCAGAGAGGGCCGTGGGCGGGCGGGCAGGGCTGTAAGACACCGCGCCGACCCCCCTGCTGCGGGGGGAGCCTCACCTCCAGCAGCGGGTGCTGCGGGCCGAGGCGGAGGCGGCGGGGGGCGAAGGTGAAGGGCGGCAGGGGCTGACGGGGGAGCTGGGGGGGCTCCCGGGGGGTCTCCCGGGCGGGGTCCGGCGGGATCCCCTCACGGAGCCGCAGGCGCAGCCCCGGCGGCAGCGGCAGCGCCGCCATGGCGGGCGGCGGGGCGGGCACCGCGCGTGCGCGGGGCGCGCGCGGCGCGGCGACACCGCGGGCACTGCGCGTGCGCAACGCCAGGGACGCGCTTCCCGGCGCCCGGGGAGGCACTTCCGGGCGGGACAGGTAGGGATGGGGTGGGACGGGATTGGGACTAGGATGGGATAGGGATAGGGATAGGGATAGGATAGGATAGGATAGGATGGGGTAGGATAGGATAGGGTAGGATAGGATAGGATAGGATAGGATATGGGGCGGGACGGAATGGAATGGGATATGCAGCGGGACGGGACGGGATGGAGCGGGACGGGACGGGATAGAGCGGGACGGAATGGGATATGGGAGAGATGGGATATGGGGCGGGACGGGATGACAGAATGGGGTATGGAGTGGGGCGGGATGGAGATGGACGGGGGGATGGAGAGGAACGGGAGGGGATGGAGCGGGACGGAATGGGATGTGGGAGAGATGGGATATGGGGCGGGTCGGGATGACAGAATAGGGTATGGAGTGGGGCGGGACAGGATGACAGAATGGGGTATGGAGTGGGGCTGGACGGGATGGAGATGGACGTGGGGGGATGGAGAGGAACGGGACGGGATGGGATACGGGAGAGATGGGGTATGGGGCGGGGCGGGACGGGTTGGAGAGGAACGGGTCGGGATGGAGCGGGCCGGGATGGGATATGGAGCAGGACGGGCCGGGATGGAGGGGGACGGGATAGGATGGAGCGGGCCGAGATGGAGCGGGCTGGGGCTGAGGCGCTGCCCCGGGTCCCGCTCCGGGCGATCCGCCGTGGGATGCAGCGGGACCCGCCCGGCGCGATCCCGCTCCCAGCGCCGCACCCGCAGCCATTCCAGCCTAAACAATACCCTGACCTTGGCAAACCAAGAGTGTGTCCGTGTGCCTGATCCATGGATCTGCGTGTGTCTGCCTGATACAATCTGTGCAGGGTGTTGCATTAAACTCCTTGGTTGTTGTCACGATGCCTCGCTCAGACTCTCATTTAAGTAACTCTGCAGAATTCGATGCTTGGTCGTAATAAAGTGGGCAGTGGAATATAAAGATGCTAAATGTGGGAAAAACTGCTTCTGAGTGAGTTCAGGAGCAGCAGCGTGGCCGTGCTGCTGAAAGCAGTGCCAGCTGTCAGGGCACGAACGGGGCTTCCCACCTCGACTCAGGGACTTTGCAGGTAGAAAATCCCTCTGCTGGCCCACCCCTGTTTGAGGTGGGGTTTGAGCCAGTGTAGCTAAATCAGGCCCCACAAGGTTTTTATTTGCCTCCTCTGGGCACATTCCCTTAATCCCAGCCGAACATCTCCGCGCTGGAAGCGTCGCGTGCGCCGGGCGCGTTTTCATTCAGCTCATACAACAAAACAACAACTCCCTGCTTTTCCCCGTGTCCCACAGGCCGAGGAGGGAGCATGAACGAGTTCAGGATCCACCACGATGTGAACGAGCTGCTGAGCCTGCTGCGGGTGCACGGCGGGGAGGGCGCCGAGGTCTACATCGACCTGCTGCAGAAGAACCGCACGCCCTACGTCACCACCAACGTGTCTGCCCACAGCGCCAAGGTCAGCACCCCCCCGGCTCTTCTTGGGCATAACGGGTCATCCAGAAGGAAACGAAACCCCCCCCAGGGTGATCTCATCTGGAATCGCAGTTACGGGTGTGAAGTGGGAAGACTTGGGAATATCTGTTTGATATCATTATGGATGGTCTGGATGAGGGGGTCGAGGCCACCATCGGCAGATTTGCAGATGTCACCAAGCTGGGGGGAAGTGTCAAGCTGCTGCAGGGCAGGAGGGCTCTGCAGAGGGACCTGGACAGGCTGGATCCATGGGCTGATTCCAAGGGGATGAGGTTCAACCAGGCCAAATGCTGGGTCCTACACTTTGGCCACAACAACCCCCGGCAGCCCCACGGGCTGGGGACAGAGTGGTTGGAGAGAAAGGGACCTGGGGGGGCTGGTGACAGCAGCTGAACATGAACCAGAGTGTGCCCAGGTGGCCAAGAGGGCCAATGGATCCTGGCCTGGCTGAGGAAGAGTGTGGCAGCAGGAGCAGGGAAGGGATTCTGCCTCTGGACTGGGCACTGGTGAGGCCACCCCTGGAGTGCTGTGTCCAGCTCTGGGCCCTCAGCTCAGGAAGGACATGGAGGGGCTGGAGAGTGTCCAAAGAAGGGCAGTGAGACTGGGGAAGGGTCTGGAGCACAAGTGCTGTGAGGAGAGGCTGAGGGAGCTGGGGGCACTCAGCCTGGAGAGGAGGATGCTCAGGGGAGACCTCCTCACTCTCTACAGCTCCCTCATGACCAGGCATACTTTTATGGCCATAATACTGCTTTTTATTGTTGCTTTTAAAAGCAATCCACCAGTCAAGCTTTAAGTGCTAGAAAATTGCTAACTGTGTCTGAAAGTTCACATCTGTGTAGCCTGAGCTGCATGTTTGCTGTAATTCAATTTAATTTTAGTTGTAATTGATAGTAATGTGGTGTTTTACAGGTAAAAATAGCAGAGTTTACTCGAACTCCTGAAGATTTTTTAAAGAAATACGATGAGCTGAAGTCTAAAAACACGAGGCATCTGGACTCTTTAGTTTATCTGCTGTCAAAACTCACTGAAGACAAAGAGGTTGGTGTTTGCTTTAGAAATGGGTGTTGAACAGTAGCAGCACTGCAATGATTTTGAGCACAGCTGATGGTGAAATCCATAAAAATCAATAAATAACCAGTTCTAGCGTTTACTGAGTTATTAAAGCACTACTGAGAATTACACTCCCCTTGATATAATCCGTGGAAAACTGGGACAGAGAGATCTGTGGTCGGATTCAGCACAACAAGCTTATGGTCATATGGTTTTTGCCTTAGTGTGTGCTGTCCAGCACTCACAAAGTCTTTTCTCTGTTTTGTGTATGTACAGACACTCCACTATCTGCAACAAAATGCTAAAGAAAGGGCAGAACTCGCAGCAAATGCAGCAACCAGCAGCACCACGAATTTTTCCATCCCCTCATCTACTTCCAAGATCTCCCTGCAGGAGCTGGAGGAGCTGCGGAAGCAGCTGGGCAGTGTCACAGCCAGTTCCAGTGCACAGCAGGTACAGAGCTCCTCCCAAGCTTTGGGCACAAAGTCTTGCTTTTTGTTAGTCAGATCAGATTAAATCTTGGTGCTGTTCTTAATAAAAAGTGGCCTTTTCCTGTTTCAGTCAGTTACAGTCAAGTTCTTAAAGGTTAAATTCATAGTTAAACTCTTCCCTATGAGGGTGGGGAGGCCCTGGCACAGGTTGCCCAGAGAAGCTGTGGCTGCTCCATCCCTGGAAGTGTCCAAGGCCAGGCTGGACAGGGCTTGGAGCAACCTGGGCTAGTGGAAGGTTCATCAACATGACAGTGGCAAACTGCCACCCTGTCCCATGGGCACTGAAGTGCCACCTGGGGGCCATGTTTCCATGTTTCCAGTCCCTGGGAGTTTTATCCAGCCCATGATGGCAAAGACCTAAATTTCAGGTTGCAGAGAGGTGATTCATGCCCCACATGCTGTGTCACCTGTGCCACCTGCCCTGGGATTACTTGGCACTGTCAGAGAGGTCACTCAGTGACTGGAGTTACTGCTTGGACCAGTTTTGGTCCAGGGATCATCAAGGTGGGAGAAGTGAGATGTTCCCTTTCAGGCAGCTCTGTCCTTTGTAGCCAAAACTGTGTCAACTTTGTTGACCTCTGCCAGTTAACAAAGTCACACTAGAGCAGGTTGAACTGCAGCAGAGGTGCCCTGCCTCTTGTCAAGAAGAGAATCACAGGATCATAAAAAATCTTGGAAGAGACCTCCAAGACCACCAAGTCCAACCTTGGACTGAATAGCACCATGCCCACTAAACCATGTCCCCAAGTGCCACATCTGCTCATTTTTTGAACACTTCCAGAGGTGGTGACATGACCATTTCCCTGGGGAGCCTGTTTCAGTGATTAACCACTCTTTCAGTGAAGAAATCCTTCCTAATATCCAGCCTAAACCTCCCATGACACAGCTTGAGGCTGTTTCCTGTTGTCCTATCTCTTGTTGCCTGGGAGAAAAGGTCCCTCCCAACCCAAACTTCATATTTCTCCCTATACAAGTCCTGTTTCTGTTAGGGGAGTAGAGGAAATTGGGGTCCTTCCAGCAGATCACCCACACAGGGTGTAAGTAGGAAAGTAAATTGAGCCTGTGCATATCCCATTACACACACACACATTTGTGGAGCTTAAGAGATGGCCTTTGTAAGCCCTGTGTTTGTGCTCTTGGGGCTCAAAGTGTTCATGTAGGCTGTACATCTCACAAGCCTCTCCAGCTGATAATTGATCTTGCACTCCATTTATTTTAGTGTCAGAGACCCAGAGCTGGGGGTGGAAAGTCTCTCAGTCTTTAAGAGCTCACTTCCTTCACTGACTCCTACTGAGAGTGAAAAACTCCATCATTTTCTCTGTGGGTGGATTGTCTGGGTTGCATTTGGCACTGAGTTCAGAGGTGTTCAGTGCCCCTGGAATAGGATGTTTGTGCTTACTGCTTCTGGAAGGGGTTTGCTGCTTTCCTGTAACCACTGCCTGGTGGTTGTGCATGTCCCCATCCTGCTCCCCTGTGTGTGCCCTTGCACCCAGGCTGGTGGGGAGGGGTGTGGGCAGGCATTGTTTGATGTATCCCCTGGTGAAAAGGCCAAATGTATTAAAAAAATCACCTCTGCAGCACTGAGACCAATAGACTAAAGGGTACTGGCAAACTAAACCCTACTCTGTGCTGCTGAAACAGCAGCTATTCCACTTTATGTTCTCAAGTCCATCCGTTTACAGTCAATTTCTGCTTGAAATTAAAAATTTCTTGGCCTTCTGAATGTCTCCTGGGGGTTTGTTTCCCTTCTTTCTCCCTCTCTCTTTTCCCAACAGCCTCTTGAGCTTACACGAAAAATCCTCCGAGAAAAGCAGAACAAGAAGAATTCTGGTCAGCCCATTCCAGTGTTTCCATCCTGGGTGTATG